ATTACTTCGTTCGTGGTACGGATGGGGAGCAACTGGGGGCCTCCAAGGTTCTTAGAAAGCACTGATGGACTTTAATTTGATTTCAATCGGTCAAAGCTATGCCAGATTTAACTGACAATTAAATTAACGTTTTTATGCCTCTAAATGGCATTCTTACATGCTTGTAGATGTGGGATTAATGTGGAATTCATTCGGTGGCTAATTTACAGAAATTCATGCATAAATTGTTGCTCAAAAGAGATGAAGAAGTGATAGATAATTTTACCATACTAATATGAATAGGCTTCACGGTGTCAGTAAAGTTCACTTAGATTTGTCTCGAAAATGTACTCATTTTAATGTGGGAAACTGTATTGTGAAGCATCTAGTTGCTTCACTGACAGACTCATCATTTCTGCCCTCCAACCCATTTGCGTCCGTGGCAATGAGTGTGACATGGTGGTTACATGTCGAAAATATTCACGGCACTAACGGAATTCAGGTTCGATTCCCATTGTGGGTGTTGATGAGATCCAAGCGAGGCCAAAACTACGGTCCAGTTCAGACTAACCAGGATGAGAAGCTCTTTTGGCAAACAAGGCTACATCGGATTGATACGTGAGGCCTACTCATCTGAGCGTGGAAGAAATCAACCATCATTCCTTCAAAGCCATACGCAACCCATGGAGACCACAGTTATTGTTCAATATCCACTGATATTCTTGAAAACCTACTCATTACGAATGGAATAAACTGTTTCTCGCCGCCAAAACCATTTAAAAAATGACAATGGGCCATCACTTTCAACATCCCAACACACGAGATGGCTCAGATTGGCACAAATATTCCATATGGTAGAATTGCATAAATTCGTTTTTCAACCTGTATAAGAATGTCTCGATCAGTTGGGATACTTTTTGGACATTATACTTGATGGACTGGAAATTGATATGACTACCATGGCAGAGGACTCCGGACAGAGTACATCCTTCCGGGTCACCCTGACAACAAGGCCAAGTTATGTAAGCGAGGTGCAACCAATTTTTCTCAGCAAAAGGAGAATACGACCAAACTAGACGCTCCACTCTCTTAATTATCATATTTTGGAGATATTTCCTACCTCAAGGAGTAGCACAAAAGAGTCTATAAGGCGCATTGATACTCGTTCCGTTGGCTAAAAGGCCGGTGTCGACTAGTTTAGGTCCTGCCTCTACAAAAGGAAGGAGGTTTTGAATCCCGGTGGACCGAGTAAAGTGACAGAGATTTTCTTCAGGGGTCTGGCAGCCAGCGCAAACTCCTTGTAGGCCAACGCGGCCGGCGAGTCTAGTTAGGTCTTGCAGGCAAAACGAAGCGACCCGCTCTCCAAGTGAAGTCTACGAGAGGGCGGGGTGAGTTAATTGCACGGAAAAGTGCCACAACGGCAATCGTAACCATGCCAACAAAGAGGAATTGATCTTCTCTCCATAAAATTGGGCGTGGCAATGCCATGGTCTCTGGTGTGCCCGGGGGCACACGACCCGAGGGGACAGAAACTGACAAGAATGGACCGCTACGTGCGTTCATGCAGGCGCTTAGCGATCACAAATCTCTGGGTCGTCATAGCTGTCCGTTGCCTGCACGTGTGCATGCGAAACCATGCGCTCTGGCCGACATAGTTTGAGTGTGACATCTCGTTTCATCTCGCCGTTACTGAGGCCGACCAGTACCTCAACTGGCTCCTCCTCCTGTATCGGTACACGAGGGCCTCGGACATTCGCGATAGACGACTACTCACGTGACTTAAGTAGTGCATCGAGTTTGACGGCAAAAAATGCAGCGACTTTTGACGGAGAAGCCCTAGGCCTGGCTGTGAGGTAAGAGAAGTCCTCTACTTTGAGTAAAGTTCTGAAGTCTTGTTCAGAGGGCAACGTTTCTGGCCTTGAATCCGCATACGCCCGGTTCGACTCCCACCAAGAGTGTTGATGAGGCCTAGCCCAGGATGAAGCATGAGGGGTCAAGTTACCTAACGAAAATAGGGCGTCATTTCTATCCGTCGTGGGGAGCCGAAATATCACTCTTTACAATCTTCTTCCTGACT